ATTTATTTAATCATGCTTCATGAACTAAGTTATGATCTATTTTGGAGAAAGTTTCATGTGATACTGAGAAAAAATGTGTTTTGTGTGGGTGATGGATAAAACCTTATTTTGATATCTGTTAAGTCTGTTTGTTCTATGGTGTCATTCAACTCTGACATTACTTTTTTGGTTGATCTGGCATTATGATTGGCTGTTTTTGTCCAGTGCAGTTTGTTTTGTGAAATTGAATTCACCAGTATTTGGTACATATATATTTACAATTGTTATTTCTCTGAGTTATTTCATTTACCATTAATTGAGCACTTTTACTCTTCTGATTAGTTTTGGCTAAAAGGCCAATTTATGCAAAGGTTGAATTGGTATTCCTGCTACTTGAAGCTTCCTTTTTTATGACACATCACCTTACTTTCCCTTACTTTCTTGATTTATTTTTAATAATCTTTAATTCTTTACTAAACTGGTATTCATACTTCATATTATTCAATTCAGTTGTCCCTTATCTTCTTTAAAGTCTTTGAAACTTTTTAAATTAAATTTTTTTTTATTTACAATTTGTCTGAATTCACTGAATGTCTTACAGATGTGTTTGTTTCTACTTCGATCTTTTCTAACATTTTAACTATTTGTCTTTTGAGTTGTTTGTGTGTGACTGCCTGCATTTCACTCCCATCAACTCAGCTTTTGCAGAGTTCGGAAGCACCTTTTTGCCTTGGGTTCCTTTGTTTCTGTGTGTGTGTGTGTGTGTGTGTGTGTGTGTGTGAGAGAGAGAGAGAGAGAGAGAGAGAGAGAGAGAGAGAGAGAGAGAGAGAGACAGAGATTGATGAGGATCAGTTAAGGTAGAAAAACACTGTTGCTGTAGTGAGGAATCTCTTCAGTTAGCCTATGTTTCTGTGTGATGTGAATTTGGCTTTGGCAATATGTTGGCATTTACATACTTTTTAAAATTACTGAACATAGTGGAATCAGCACCTGTAACCCTAGTTTGCAGGGAAAGAACAACTACCATCTACGGAACAAAACATATATTCAGTAGTGTGTAATGTTTCAGGTTCATTTTAACAGCATCAACCTTGTTTTTGAAAACCCTGAAAGGTCATCATATATATATATATACTGCTAAAGCAGTATATATATATCATACATATATGCTAAAGCAGTAAAAATTGAAAAAGGAGAGAATGATAACTAGAGATTACATTTCCTGTAAGAAGTATTATACTAGCTGTAATAAGATTGGAAGCAATATTTAGTTTGTATTTGAATCCCCTACACACAATTTGTGGAAATGGTTAACCTGACAGTCCCATGAAAGATACTATCTAAGCTGAAGCACTATTTGATTTTACTTATTTTTCATCTATTTCATATATGTATATATAGTGAATATACATACATTGAGAAAAGAACACACACACACACAATAGCATAGACCTCTGAGTATGTTTTATCTGTCAGAATTTGACCAATATGCCCTCTTTTTGTCCAGTACCCTTTGTTTTGTAAAAGTGAATTCACCAGCATTCGCCAAGAATTGGTAAATGAAGAATCTTTGGGCTGTAGCATTTATAGGGAAGTGAGCTCTAGTTCTCCATGTTTGAGCACAGGAGATTTGATGTATTCACTGGCACTTTACGTGGATCCCCACATAACATTTGTTTTCTTTTGTGATAGCTGGTAAAGAGACTTGGGGATTCAGATGTATTGCTATGCTTGCTTCTCCTCTCTGTAAGCAGTGCTCAGCTTGGTCGCTTGGAGGATACCACACAAACATAAAGATAGTCAGTGTTTGGGTATATGGTAGGAGAATACCTACTCCCTGTTCTTTCCTTTCTCAAGTCCCTCTTCAAATAATTCTCTGGTTTCCTGTTTCTTTAGTTCCCTGACCTGCAAATATCTTGCTCACCAATCTCTTCTCATAGAGAGAAGGGTGTTAGGTCCTGTGAGGAATAGAGAGTATTTTCCAGGCTGGGGACCAAAACCACCAGCCTGGCCACTGGTCCTGTACGCAGTATCTTCCCTTGAGCAATATGGTCATTTCCCAAGCTCACCAGTCTTGGGAGTACAAGTCATACCAGGATCAAGAGACAGGCCTGCTGCTTTTTCTCAGTACGCCTGATCCTGGAATTTGTCTTATAAGCCCCTCTTTCAACTTCCCTTCCTGTATTTGCTTCTCTGCTTCCCTCATTTCTGAGTTCCTGGATTTCCTGCTCTGCACCTTCTGAGTGTCCCTGGAGAGCTAGTGTCTGACTTCAGCCATGACAACCATGTTAAAAATTTCATACTTGGTTTATCTGGTGAATATATACTTTCTGTACTTAAACTAATGCCAACATTTTGTTTGTTTTCTATCAATCAAATCAAATTCTCATATATACTATGAACTGAATATATTTTAGTTTTAATTTCATATGTACTTAGATACTCAATATTCTGAACTGTCTCTAAAATTACCTTTCTCCCTGACATCAAACACACCGAGATGTAAATATAATCGAGACACCTGTAACTAATCTCTGCAGCTTTGATCACAGTTGCAGAACCCATGAGCTGAACTTAATTTACCTAGATATATGCCACTGGAAGATAAAAGTAAATATGTGAACTCTTCATAAATATTTGCTTGGTATTGGAAGTAACATGTAACTTCTTCATTTCCAATGCAAACGTTATTTATATAATTCTTATAACATACTATTAGAGTTTTATTCTGATTCTTATTCTATATTATAGGAAAACTAAATATATAGATTTATTAAGAAAGCATAAACACATAAGAAACTATCCCATAGCAACAACACACCATCCTAGTTTTTAAAGCATAGCTATCAATATGTATGAAATACAGAATTTGAACAGAATTGAAGAAATAATTTGGAGATAATGACCTTGTTTAGAAAGAGCTTGATAAAGAGGAAATATAAAAGAAATTTTAAAATCACAGAAATTATTTATGTGTATTTACATTACTATATGCATGTGTATGTATTTATTTAAATGCAGCAAACCTGAAAATTTCTGAACATTAACTTTTAAGAGCTGGAAAAAGTATGAGTGCTGAGGACATACTTTTTGCTTTAATATTAAATATCTTTTTTTTTTTTTTTTTTTTTTGGTTTTTCTCAGGTACCAGGAACCAAACTCACGACCTTGCGCTTTGCTAGGCAGGCGCTTTGCCGCAGAGCTAAATCCCCAGCCCCTTTTTCTTTAATATTAATGAAAAGATATTCTAATATGTTTATTAGGCCCTCCATATTTGATACTTATGTCAGTGACCACACCAAGAAGTAAAGATAAAAGTAGATTTTTTTAAAAAATCACTTACTTATTTATAAAATATATACAGCTACCAATCTACCAATCATAGGGAAATGATTGGTATGAGACAAATATGAAGGAGCACTTGAAGTAAGGATTATAGAAAATGGGAAGAAGGAGAGAAATGTCTGATATGTATATGTACATATACATATATGGAGAGAGACAGAGACAGAGACAGAGACAGACAGACAGACAGAGAGGGTAGAAAGGGAGAGATGATAGAGATAGAGATAGAGATAGAGGTAGAGGTAGAGGTAGAGATCTATCTCTAGATATACCTCAAATTTTCTTTTGTAGATCTTCTCATTGTAAATAAATATTAAAATGCAAATTTCTAGGTTAATATCAGTTAAGATTCATGTACAAAACACAAACTACTATTAGTATTTCAATGATAAGATATTTATGATAGTTGATTATATAACTACATTATGCATATATCTTATTTTATATTTGTATGACCTAAGAACTGAACAGGCTCTAGAATCTAGACTATGCAAATAATCACAATTGAAAAGTGAAGAAAATGATAATTTATTTTAAATACCTTAACAAATATGAAGTTTCATTTTCATAACACCAGTCATGTCTAACCAATATATGTTCATGCTCACATAAACTATTCACACACACACACAGACACACATACACACGTTTAGGAGAATGCAGGCATTTAACAACATAAAAATAAAACAAGAATCCTTCCATTCTATATGTCCAAATGTCACCAATAAAGTTATTTGTTGCCTTACATCTACTTGAAATATATATATTAAAGATATGCATATTTATATAAATATCTCTGTAAAATATAAAGGAGCATTTATAAATATGCATTCCAAAATATATTTTGAAAAAGAGCGAACAAATAACATTTTAGGTTTCCACTGCTTTGATAACACCCTCAGAAAAACAATTCAAAGGGAAAAGAACATTTTGGCTTATGGTTTCAGAGATTTTAGTCCATGGTTTGTGGCCCTTGTTCAGTTTAGGCCTTTGGAACAGAGAAACATTGTGACCAAATGTTAAAGCAGAGGAAAGTTCCTCAGCACCTCATGGTAAGCAAAAGAAAAAAGAAAAGGAAAACGGTGAGAAAAATCTGTGCTGACAAGTTCCCTTTTTCTTTTCGTTCTCTCTGGGGCCTGCTGTGAGCTCCAGTGTGTCTCCACCCGTTTGCTGTCCCTCATGCCATTCTCTATGGAAGCAAATTCACAGAAACCCAGAATTCTGCCTTCTAAATTCCTAGGTGCTTCTGAATTCAATCAAGTTGACAGAAAAGAATAACCATCACAGATATTTAAAAAACATTTTATTGTGATTAATTCAGAATATAGCATACACTGTATATATTATAAATAAAATAAATGGCTATGGAAATTTTATTTTTAATTACAGACAAATTTTCACAAGGAATTGAAATAATAAGGTGTGACATTTAATAACATAATGAACGATCAAATGTTAAATTGCTGTCAAATTAATATAGAAAATTCCAGAGATTTTGAGCTGATATTAAAAATACTTCATAATTCATATTTTAATTACTCTGCGAAAATTAGTGTTCATGAAAACTGTTCATAAAATGTTACTGAAGTAAAAATTTTTGAACCTCAAGCCTTAGAATTATTTTATATTTCATTAATTATACAGAATCCAGCAAAAATGTATATATCAGGTAAAGAAAACATATAAATATTTTCATACTAAATTTATTCAGAACATGACATTAATACAAGTTACCTTTGGCCTCTACAATTGCAAGAAATGCTTAAAATGGTGGTCATTACCTTCCAGACATTTAGTAGTACAGTGAAATGCTGACGTGCGTATACATTTTTGGGGCAGACTCTGTATTTATCATTTCTACTTTTCATTGCCTAATTTTAATAACTGTAAATTTAGATAAATTCTAATAGTTCAATTTTAATTAGAAAAAATACTGTTGTTCATTAATTGAGAGAGCATTAGTTAATTTTCCTTAAATAATTTTGAGTTATTGAGTTTATATATTGTCTTTCTTGATATTAGAACTTATGTTTTTACAACACAAATGGAATAATTGCTGATTTTCTATGCATACATGAGTTAAACTTCTTCAGGTAAAATTTATGTTTCTTTTTTGCCCACAAAGACATCTGGATACTCATCAGAAGTGTAAAAATTCCAACTAGAAAAAGAAAAGAAATAATTGTCTTTTTTTCCTTTATTTTTGGTATTCCTATGATGGACACAAGATACATTAGAAGGTACCACATTCCATATCTAATGTTAAAGTATTTCCCAAATGCTGCACGTGTTTTCATCTGTTTCCTGATACTTGCTGCCTAGCATAATATATCTTCACTCAACATTCCTTATATAGAAGAATAAATATACAACTACTTAGTAATTTTATTTTTCGACATCTGTTGCCACAAAATTCTTCCATAAGGAATTTTTCAGTCATTTGAACTATTTCAATGATTTTTTCCAAGTGCATATAATATCCTTTCTATACATACAAACATATTCACATAAAACATAAGCCACAGTGATTATGATTGAAAATTTTTATACAGTAGAATAACAAATGGATGAAATGAATGTAACATGTATACCACTTAATACATTGAGTTCATGTAATTCAACTTTCTGGTATATCTTAAGAGACCCAGAATTCAAAGTTGCAGTCATGCTTTACCGCTCTACCTTCACAGATTCTCTTGGATAATTAACAAAACACATGTGCATGTCTGCGTACCTGCACACAACCGAGATTCATGTAAAGTGCATAACTGTTACTTATGTTTTATGAAATCTCATTGCTCAATAAATATATTTAAATTAGGTTTCCTTGCTTGCATCATGCACTACTTATACAGAGTTAATTAGCAATGATAGTTTGATTTTTTAGTACAGCTAAAACTCAGAATCAGAATAACACCATAACAATCCTTGTGTCAACATAGGTTGTTAGTAGAGGAGCTTATTCTCAGAGACCAGTCCTCCCAATGGCGCACGCACTCTGAGTAAATGTCAGTGAAACAGCTCTTACCTGGCAGTGTCTGTGTCATGACTGTGAAGCTAATCCACGATCCAATCTGTTATATTAAATCATAAGTTGACAAATATCCAGTCATTCTCTCATTGTGACATATGATAAATAATTTAAGAGGTTAAAACATTAGGAAAGCTATAAGTAGGAATAAACTTTAAAATAATAATTTAATTTTTACATTCAATCGTCATTAAACTTCCATAAAATAATACCATACGCATAAGTGGCCAGAGAATACCATTTTAAAGACTGGAAAAATTAAATTTCTGAAAGCTTTCAAAACGTCTTACACAAAGATTGCAAAAATCTTCCTTAAACATAAATATATCATGCTCATATATTCCCTCAGTTTCAAAGAATATTGTGCTTAAAATGTGCTATTTTCTTATGCCTGTAACTTGAATTGAAGATATAGCTCTGCACTCATACAGATAAGACTAACATCTATTTTGTTATGCACATGCTACCTTGTAATACATTAAAATGCATACAGTGCACTTAGTACATAATCAAGAACTTAAATTTAAGTTATTTACATACATGAATACTGTACCTCATATGTGTAGTTTGGACATGAAACCAGGAAAAACATCCACGTGAAGGGGTTGTAATTTGGACTTGGGAAGCAGGCATTATTCCCTTTTAGAAGAGAGAGTAAAATGTCAATGATGTTACACATTACAAACATGAACGTATGCTTATTATGTAATCCTAAATCCCAACAACAACTATATGCCACATAAAATGTCATGGGATATTTATAGCTACCTATGCTGTAATAGCTCTGAGGGGCCCCATTTAAAATGTTATGAGCTTTGACTCAAAGAATACTTGTTATTTCTGAATGTGTCTACAGCTCTGTTGCTATAAAATTGCATAGCACATAAGGAAAATTATTTCCTTAAAATTTTTACTAAAATAATATACACATGTTTCCTATATTACGTAGCTGCAGCAGTAATATCGACTGATTTATAAAACATATTTTGACAATTTCATGTCTCTTCGCGTTCTCCGTTAGTGTGTGGGACTATGTATTTGATTGAAATTATCAAATGCCTCACAGCTCCCTTTTTATTAAAGTAGTGAAATCCAAAGGGAATTTTGCTAGAATGTCACTTATGTCAGAAGAATGTGAAAATCTCTTGTAGGAGAATTAAACTGAATCAGTAGAGCAAATATTCATAAATACCACATAAATCATTTCTGCTTAGCAATCAGGAATGTTATTTACAACTCTCATATCTGGCATATTGTTACTTGTTTTTGTTATTTTCCTTCGTGTAAACTTTTTTGAGAAACATTTTGGAAAATAAATTTATAATGATTTCAGGTTGAACTTTGAGATACGACATTTGTAAAAGTAAATATGAATTATAAAATTACAGTTTTATTCTCCCTAGCAAGATTTAATCAAATAACAAACCTACTAATCTCTTCTAGTTATAGCTAAAGTCATAATGAAATGTCAGTATGTTATTTTCAGAAGTATAACGATGTTTGAAATGTCAAGTAAAAGTACATTAAGTACTATACAGATTTCATATACTGCTCATTTCAAAATAAGGATAAATATTTACACTATTTCATACTGCTGATCCTGTTATGACACTATGCACATATCTTTGTGGGATGTCCATATGTGAATCAAAATAAAAATAATTTGGGTATCTACTCATGTTATAGTTATTTATGGTTAGTTATAGAAATTCAAAGCTGGAAGATGTATACAAAATACCTGGGCTTATTCCTCTATGAAGTTACAGTCCCTGGAGCTGAGAATGATCAAATTCTTCCAGATTTAGCTCATATTAAATAATGCATATTAACTCTTACACAGTGTATATATTATACAATGTATATAAATATTATATTAACTGCATAATTAAATATTACACTACATATTAAATAATGTATATTCTTAGGATTCAGAGAAATATTTATAAATGGATAATGTTCTTTAAACGTGTATAGTTGCTGTTAATTTTAATAATATATAAATTTATGGCTTATTATTTTAATATTTACATTCTCCATTATGTATTTCCTCAGTCTACAGATAATATGATTAAGTTGCTAGTAAATGAAAGCTGAAAAAATTTTTATAATAAGGTGCTGCGCCACCCAAATTTATCATTGGTCATATCTGGACTTTTCTGCTGGTTTATGCAGTGCTCGTGGGAGCCTTCTGCTCCAAGCTTGTCCTATAGAGATTTCATGGCTGAAGTCACCAGCCGAGGTCAAAGTCACAGTTATGTCTTGGTTTAATCTTAATTCAATATCATATCCATATGGGGAATTTATTACCCAATTTACCACTCAAAAATGATTATTCATCATAGCTTTAGAGTGTACTATGTGTGCACTGCAGATGCTTATTTAGACTGCACTGCTGTCATTTTCTTATCTAGGCATGAGTATTTCTTTCCCTTCATAAAGTAAAACCCAACCTTGTTTGTGGGCAACAAGCCTGGCTCAAAAGGCAGCTGCTTGAATGACCATTTAGAATGAAATGATATTCTGGCGACCCATAATTAGTAACTCATTGTTCCTGGAAAATTCCAAACAGCTGGCTGTGAGTACAAAGTATCAGTGCAAAGGTGAAGTCTTTTGCCTGTGGTATACTGGTATGTTCTAGTGAGGGAAGGGAAGGCTGTATCCAGGCCAGTATAAAGAGTGGTGTAAGATGGCAATTTCTATGCGTGCACTTGACAGTTGTAGCTAAAACTGAAGAGGACAGTTACCAATTAGGCAGTTAAAAGCTGAACGTGGCCACTAAATGACCTCTTTGGAAGCACTGTTTAGGTTTTTATTGTTTTGTTTTGTTGTTTTTCTCCTGGTTTTGTTTGTTTTGTTTTTGAGTCAGGGTTTCATTATGTCGTTCAGGCTGGTCTTGAACTCACTATGTAGCCCCAAGTTGGCCTTCAGCTTGCAGTGATCCTCCTGCCTCAGCCTCCCCCTTGCTGTGATTACACTTGTGTGCCATCATGTCCAGCTATTCCTTGGAAGCATTTAAACAGTCTCTAATCTTATACAGTAAAAAGTCAGAAAACTGAAAACTAGATGGAGTACCTAACTGCAAACACAATAAAGCTCCAAGAATATACAACTCCTGTTCCAAGGCAAGGTTATTATCTGGAAATATCATAATATGTAGGTTTTCATGAACTTCCTGATACCTTTTAAAATGGTCCTTCTTCAAGCTATACAGAAGCCATTATAATACAATAATAGATCTTTCTCATCTCCACTCATAGCCTTTAGCAGTAGACAGGTTAATATTACTTTATGACCTTCCTGAGGTGTTTGCCAGGGACAGCTAATAGAAAAAAGCATCATACCCCAAAAGAGATACAAGACGTAGCCAGCATGATCCAACAAACTGTAGAACATACATGTTATTGGATTGTGAAGTTACTTGATAAGAGGAAAAGATAGTAGATTGAATAAAATTCGGTATATGATTTTGAAGCCCTGTCTTGGTTCAAGGGATAAAATATTCTGGTAGAAACACAGTGCCCAAAACATATACAAAGAAATGACACAGAGTAATGCAAAATAAATGTTAGAATTTTGATGGCAGGGAAGTAAAGGAGGAAATCAGAGATTAGAGAAATAGGAAATGGCTTGGAGAAATAGGCTTCCATAGATTTTCCATACACAAATGAAGACAAAGAGCCCTTTTCTGTGCAAGTAATGACTTTCCTCATGAACTTCATTCCCATGTTCTTCCTATGCCCCGTGGGAGGACTAATAAGAGGCACTGCTCCTCAAAGCTTTCTGGACTGTGTTAGGGAAAAGGGCCCCGTCATCAGTGAGATTAACGTTGGCCCTTGGCTGTGTCTGGCTGACTATAAGTGATGTAAATCATTTTAGAACCAGGATGACTAGAATATGATTTGAATTAGAAGATCTATGTTCTTCATCCAAATGAAACCAGTTGGAGTTGTGACACAGACATAAGCCATAGTGAGAAAGTTTGAAGGATGCTTGACCCACACAAACGTATGGCTGGCTATAGAATACAATCTCCCTAAAGGGTAGATATATAAGTACTCAACACTTCATTGAAGTAAAATAATTATAGATCAACAGTTAGAAAACTGGGAAAGACTGACACAACGTAAATTTAATTATCCCTTTCCCAGTTTTTAGAATTAAATCTATCATAAGATTCCAAACCCACTGATGGAAAATAGTCTGGTATCCAAGCAAGAAAGACATTACAACACCAAAACAAGGGTATGGATTATTTGCATTATCTTTCATTAAAGAACCTCAAAAATTAATTGTCCTTTATTAGGGTCATTTATTTTGTATATGATAATATAAAGTAACCCTACATTTTTGAGGACTTTTACAACAAGGAGGTCTAAAATGGTCCTTTCCACAGACCATAACGCATAGTTTGTAGCTTCAAAAACTCACATGGTTGTGAGTTTATGACCTTTGGAGCAGTAGCTATGGCAATGTGAAAAGTCACTGGAAGTCACTGAACTAACATCCGTTCTTCTGTAAGACAATATTACATCCCAAGCAGAGATTACTGTCACACTCGAGATTGAAAGTATGCTTTGGAAATATTGTCCATTATTTCACCATTCAATTTATCACTGTAGCTTTATAAAAAGCCAGATGTGAATTGGAAGATAATCATTACAATTTTGCAATTTAATCATGGATTGTCTATCACTGCAATTAATTAACAGACATGGAAATTTTCCTCAAGCAGATTAACTCAGCATTAAGTACAGGAATGTATATAGGCACCCAGTTTACAAATGTGGTTTTCCACTTCTAGAGCAAAGGAGGATCAGAGTAGGTTTTTTTTTTTTTCTTAAAATGAATCATAGAGACCATTTTTATTAGTACATACTTTCACTACACAGTGATTACATTTATCATGAAGAACTAATAATGTACATAATACATCTTAGTTCTTTCATATTTCATTCCCTAGCACTTCTCAGAGTACATTTATAATATTGTTCTGTGGGGCTACTTTAATAGGTTTCATAAAATACCTCAACGAACTCTGCATTGATTAGGGTTCTCACTAAAAATCCACTGACTGTATCAATAATTTTATGTTTTTTATGCTGGATAATTAAGGTTAGGTAGCAGCTGAATGCATTATAAGTCATGTCTGGTCCAGGGCTGGGGTTGGGAGTAAATAAATACTACCGAGTTGAAGGAGTCGTGTACAAAAATGTTTAACTGTGGAACATCTCTTCCAAAATGAGAACACATGGCAATATCTATCCCTTACAACAAGGAAGAAGCATTAATAAAGAGTCTTTGTAGGCCTGTTCTAGTGATGCAAATTTTATATTATACAAGAGGAAAGCTGATTTGAGCCATAAACCATGTAGGAGAAATGTGCAATAACTGAGTAGCATTCAAGGCAGACAGTCGCAACAGACTCGAGTTTGTGGTATCAGCAATCCTGCGCCTGGACCTTGGGATGAGATAAAGCCCACATATTAAATCTGTCGGTGTAGGAAAAGACAGCGTATTGCTTTTCACAAGCCCCCAAAGGATGACCACAGTGCTGAATGACCCTTGAGAGCAAGAACACTGCATTTGTCATGGAGGACTACACCTGTTGTAGGAGAGAAGTTTAAATATTACTGAAGTCCGGTAAAGGTGTAGACCATGTTCAAGGGATACCACGTGACCGTGCAGCCACGATCCAGCATTGTGACTTGAATTACATCACACAGACTGAATATGAGTTAATAATCCAGAAATAGTGTATTATATAATGGAAGTAAACATAAGTAAGATAATAGTGTACCCGGAAATTTTATTAGTAGGGACCCAGACACCCATATCACACTCCAGTGTGGAATCAGTGTATCTCTTTCAATTAGCACATTTAGCCAACTTTCTGTTAAGAAGAAACTGAAGAATGAAATGGTTGAGCTGAGTTCACAGATGAATTGGCTGTAATGTGGATATAAAACAAAACCAAAATAAAGCGTCTTGTTAAGCATAGTTGGTTACATGTTTCTAACTGGTTTTACGCTTTAAAAAACCTGCTATGTAGGCTTTGAAAATTATTACCAAAATTCTCTGAGGAAAACAACATTGTTTGGCAAAGATAAAAAGAAAATAAACTAACCTGTGTGATTGGGATGAGCCAGTATTACGTTGATGAAATGATTCCCAGCTTCACAAATCTACAAAACATATTAAAACTTTTCAGTATGATATAGCTATGATTATTTTAAAATTGTATTCTACATATATATATATTCCATATACTATATTAATTCCAAATCCAAGAAATATACCTTCATTTAGAAAAAATAAATTTTATAACAATGTAAGAATTTGTTGAATCCAACATAACCAGTAACAATCAGTTGTTTTTTCTCAATATTGGGGTTCAAGCATAGAGAGCACTGAGATTGCCCCTCAGGCCTTTATATTTTTTATGACTGTCAGTCTCAGCACGCCCAGTAGCAGGACCCCAAGGAGCGCTACAGCCTCTGTACAAGACCCACTTGTTTCAAATTTCGAAGATATTCTTAACCTGTTTTGGTAATGGGCTCAAACTGTCTGATTGACGAGGTACTGCTGGGCATCTGCTTTGTGCTTGTCCCTCTGTGTGCAGTTTCTTACCATGAAGAGTTGGTGAAAGCTGCTGAGCCCAGAATTGGTGCAATGTATATTCCCAGGTCGCTAACACAGTAGAAATATTCCCAGGGCAAGGTGCTTGTTTGATTCTCAGCTGGCTTCAGCTTAGTTTGGAAGACGTCTCTTGAACAGCACTCGCCCGTGTATTAATTTCCAGCATGTCTGGCATTGCCCTCTTCATCTGAATTGCCCCTATTCATAGGTGACTATGACCTTCTGAGAACATCAAGGATTTGTCCCAAGCTCTTGGTACTAATAGTATTACTAAGTTGTATTGTGTCCTTTTTGAGGTTAAGATCCTTTGTCTTTCCAATTTGTCTTAGCTGATACAACACAAGTTGTGCGTTCAAAGAGAAATAGGTTGTCACTGATCAGAGATTAGGTTGTGCAAAATGTTTTTGGTCATTTAACTTTTTATCTCTAAAGTAGCCCAAAAGTTAAGCATAACCGTGACTCAGTGGCTTTAATGTTTTATTCTAAGTGTATTTAATGCTCTTACTTTCTTTTTAACTGTTTTTTACATATTCATTTCTTTAAATATAATAATAGCTCCATAGACATTAATTTCTGTGTAACTCACACAGTAACTCCAATATACTTCAGTGCAATCCAAATTTAGGAAAAATACACTGAAAAAGAAAGCAAAAGTCCATTTCTCCTTATCTGTTTTACACAAATGTGATTTAGACTAATCAGTTTAAATAGGTTAATGCTCTTGCGAGGTACTGTTAACAAATAGTGTAAATACATTCAAATAACATTTAAAGATCTTGAAAATAATCTATTTACTACTTTCACACAAAATAATTAAACAAAATAAGTGTCAAAAAACTTCCAGTTTCTTATGTTATTAGGAAATCAAAGCTAACATTTGAATGTTCAGATAATAATTTGTATTTTTTTTTTTTTTTCTTTTTTGGTACCAGGAATTGAACTCATGACCTCAGGCTTGCCAGGCAAGCACTTATGCCGCTGAGTTACAACCCCCCCCCAATAATTTATATTTTTCATTTATGTGTAATCATGGGTTATGGTGTGGGGTTTTGATTGCCTAGACCCGTGATTTCATGCAACAGCTTTGATGTACTTATTGTCACACAGCAAGCAAGTGAAAGAGAAATTTGGAATTTTGTTTTTTTATATGCATTTAAATATCATATCATAACCCCACGGAATTCTATGATGATAAAATGAATTCAAGTATCTGACACATTCTATTATAAAAGTATAAGTTTAGTGAGCAATATATTCAATAAAGATTTGATCTGTTTCACTCTAATATTCTTTGAATTATAGCAAAATACTAAGTACTAAAGAGCCCATGCTTTTATCTAGAAATATTATTATATTGATAAATGTGAACTATGCAATGAATAGTCGAAATAGTTGAAAAAGATCATATTTTTCCCACCAGAAAGTACATTTTTTTTTGTTTGTTTGTTTTTCTCCGGTACCGGGAACCGAACTCACGACCTTGCGCTTGCCAGGCAGGCGCTTTTGCCGCTGAGCTAAATCCCCAGCCTCTAGAAAGTACATTTTTAAAGACACTTTTGATTAGGAAACAAAACCACTTTTACTTCTTCTGTAACCCTCTTTTCTCAAAGTTCTGTGATACTTTGAATTTAATCAGTTCTCCTGAATATTTAACAATGGAGAAATAAGCTAGGTGTCAAATTAATGGCTTCAGGAGAGATTTGGTTAACATATTAGAAGTAATGTGTCATACTGCAGTGTGCCATAAAACTTTTTCTGAATATATCTCCCGTTAAAGCTAATTTTATTCAGATTCAAAAACACGATTGGATCAAAATATGTGAGATTTTAGTAGTAAAGATTCTCACTGTTTGCTACCACACATTTTATTGGCCCATAGCATACTGTCGTTGTACATTCCCATGGTCAGTGTCCAACTGACAAACAAAGATCAAGGGAGACTAACTTATAGTCATCTACTTTTATATCATTTGTCCAAAATATGGTTCTTCCTTACAATCCTCATAATATTAAACTATTTCCTTTTTACATTTCTGGAAATAATTTCTTGATAGCACCAAATCCAAAGTGTAAGCATTCTACTAAAGAATGTACAGTTATTGAATAGCTAGGCTTTATCTTTTTGTTTTAGAAAAAAATTTTAGACTTCTAAAATAGAAAATTTTCAATCCTTATACTGCAGTCAGATATTTTGTAGATATTAAAATTATCCTTTTATCATTCATCATGAATGTTCTCACATTGTTTATGCATTGCTATTGTTATTGTCACTATTAGTGTCACACATGCAGTATTTTACTTATAATTTCATCATTGCAGCTATGTGATAAAATTATTGTTTTAATTCAAATCTACAAACTGTTTCAAACACTCACTTTTAGCTTTTTTGAGTCTCATGTATTTTATTATCTATGTTTATAACTAGAGTAACAATGACAACAATAATATGTTTTCTTTATTTTTCCTTAAGGTTGCAAAATTAAGATAATATCTGGGTGAACATGATTACAGAGTGTTTTATCTGTCAAATTCATAAATTTTCTGCTTTGTGGAAGATAGTTTTAATCTTAGTAGATAATGTGTATTCTCATAGGGGGAAATGTTATTTGATAGCATAAACCAACATTGTACTGTCTTAATAGTCATAAATCTTCTAATTTATGATAATTTAGAGTACTATGCAGATAAAATTATAATTTCCCCAATGCCTAGTCTCCATATTTTTGTTATGAAACCTCCTGCTATACTTTCAAATCTTTCACAAAAGTATCCTTCCAATAAGATGCATGTGTTTCAGGTAAAAAAAAAATCTAATAGGTTAATTATAAATTTAGCAAGATATATAAATGTGAAGGAAAACATTTTGTAATTTTTTTTCTGGTACTAGGAATAGAACTCAGTACCTTATGCTTGCCAGGCAGGTGCTGTGGAGCTGATCTGTCTCCCTGCCCCTTAATTTTTTTTTTTTTTTTTTTTT